TCTTTAATCTTCTCTGGTCATGGTAGCTTAAGTATTTAGTGAGTTTTCCTATTCTATCTTGCCTTTTTTTTTTCATACAGGAAACAAAGAATCTGCTAGGATAGCTAAGACAACAGCAGTGTTCCACGTTAGTCTTAATCAAATTGCTGAGAGCTATACTAGAATCCTTCTTTGACTACCTCAGACACAGAAGAGTTTCAAAAATCATTATAGTGATGAAAATACTTAGCCTGTAGGCACAGAATTTTCATGCAGCTGAATTTACCATCTGGCTTGATGACTCTGTGGGTACTTACACTTTATTCACATAAGGTGACATTTGTAGTTATACATGCAATGGCAGCTTGGTCAATAATTCTGCCTTCCCAGAAAGGTTACTAGGTGTGAGTCAGGGCTTACAAGCAAAGTGAGAATTTTGAGGCACAAGATTTGTCTGTGGTTCAGCAGTGCACTAAGAAAACAGATCCAGCAGCATTTGCAGCACCTTTTTTTAAAATACATTCATTTTGTACATTGTAGTTCTGTACACCAAGAATATTTATACATCCGCTCCATGTAGTTGTTAGAGAAGAACGTGTCCAAATGACAGGTTACAGACAAATCAAATTCAACAACAAAGATAGGTGCTTCATTGCTGGTGTGCAGCCACAATGCCTCATGCTTGGACTTCTGACAGCAACCTCCAACTTGGACTTTAATGTGAACACGTAGAGGGGACTGGATATATAATTCATGGCTCAGATTCTTTTAGTCAGAGTTTGAATCAAGCTGAAGTTTCTTGCTTTTTATGTCAGGTAGAAAAATCTTTGCCTTACTATTTAAAGTTCCTCCAAAAGCAGAATGGACAATTGTTTCAGGACAGGAAACATTTTGTGGATATCAAATTTAGATCCTCATTTCCCTGTAATCCTGGATTTCTCAGGTGAAGTTAACACCGATGCCATCCAACATTACAAAAAAAATCTCTGTAATTTATATACTACTGCCCTCTACTGCATTTTTAATATAGATCATAAAAGTATGTGTTATTTTAATTCAAACCAGTCCCAGTTCTTCTGAGGTTTGTGAGGATCATTCAAGGTCATCATTCAACGAGCCCACCTGTACAGCAAAGCTATAAACCAAAAAGCATCATAATTTTCTTCCCCAAAACTTTGAATGTATCTGAACCAGGACAACAAAAATACCAAGTATAATTGTATTCAGTAAGTCTCCCACCTTTCTTCTCCCAACTACAAAAAAACAGCATCACAGTCATTGTAGAATTAGAAGCACCCTCCAGTCAGTTCTAGCTACTGAAATACAAGTTAAAAAAAAAACAAACCACCCAAACCTATAGGAGATGTGAAACAACTATTATTGGTGTCTTTGGATTACCTGAGGTTCACAAATCTCTGATGCCAATGACTGTTGAAGATGTCTACTGGTACAATGGACATAAGATTACCCAAATATTCCTTTCCCATGAACTGAAGTCACATTATCAAATGTGACTCACATCCAGGATACATCTTGGAATAAATGGCACCAAAACAAACTGGGTGCTAATCCTCTTAATTCTGTTCCCTAGGAGCCGATGTTTTGTTTCAGTATAGGGAAAAGAGATTTCTGAAGGACACGAGGCACTTCAGACTTAACTTAGTTCCTCCGGTATTTACAAAGCACTGTGTGTACTCCTGCATCACTCATTTCTAATGGAGAATGGGCAAATTGAAATAGAAAGCCAGTGCCACATATTTGTCATTAAAATACATTGGATTAAGGTTAGGTAAATAACTTTCCGTGATGCCAGGGAATGTTTTTCTTCCCCCTTCACTGTCACTGCCCTGACCAAGCTCTGCCCTCCCTTGCCAGGACACCGCACCCCAGTTTGTTGAGATACCCCATCTCTAGTGGGGTTTTTGGCAGTTGCACCGTGAAGGCAGAGCCAAATTCTGCAGGAAGTAATTCCTTTTGTCTTCACAAAAACGTGCTTACAGTCAATCCTATGGCTATTTCCCAGAAGTGAAAATTAACGCTGATTTTGATGGCAACAGGAGTCCCTGGCACACAGAATTTTAACCCAAGCAGCAGCATATCCTAGGAGGGAAGCTATGCATTCAGGTACTATTGCCTATGTTTGAATTCCAAACTTCCCAGGGATTTCCAGACAAAGTAGATGTAAGCTTTCTAAAGATTTCTATGAGAAATTGATGATGCAATTAGAGCCTCAAGATCATGTCACTGAGTCTTCAAGTAATTCCTCCCCATTAAAAATCCATTCCACCTGTTTAAAACAGAAGATTAAGAAGAGCACACAAAACCTCAAAAGGCGTGGAGCACTGAGAACATCCAATTTGCTTTGGTCACAAATTCAGAATTTCTAAGCAAGCTTTACAATTGCATGAAGTTGGGGGAAGAAAGGCAGAGTAGTTTGATTTTTCAGTGTTTAAGAGTGAGTATACCAGCATATTCCAAAGCATTGTACAAACGTTGTCTAGATTTAACAAAGCCATGGAATTAACAGAAAGCCGGAAAAAGTAAAACTGGTGGCCAAGTTCTGCTCAAGGCAACACGGCAAGTTGCCAGACAGACATGTTTACAACTATTATGAAAACTGCTAGAAGCAACATCTTACACTCTCTCCCCCCAGGCTTTGATTACAGACAAAAATCAAAAGTCCATTGAAACCAGTTGCCATTGCATAAATGAGGCTGTTGAAGAACCATCAAATCAGTAAGATAAAGTTTCTGGTTGCATTTCTTTGTTAGAGGCACCACAATGTATTTTCTATTTGCATTTTTAATCTACTCAAGTGATTCGGTTTTCAATTTTCATTAGGGACTTCCTGTTACTACTCTTCATCTTATTTTATCTCACTGTACTTTTCCACTGTTTCCAGCTCTGAGACTCCCCCCCCGCCCGGTATTTCATGCTAAACATTCTTTCTACAAAAGGACACAGCTCACTTTTTCTTTTTTGCATCACAAAATTTGCTTTCCTTCCCATAAAAGAAATAATTTTGTGACTGGGCCAAGTGTTTATGTACCCAGGTAACACCAGTACAAAGCTTCATTAGTTCACTGGCCACTGTAATAACCTACAAGGCTACAGAAACATTTTTATTTATAGTTTGGCTTCCTAGTATCCTCACATTTAAAATGACCTCCTCTTTTCCAGATTTTCAGCATTATCTCTTTAACAGCCCCAGTAACATGCTACGCAGTCTTTGGTTAAAACCTGACTGAAGAATTTGCCCCAGTACAGAGAGATTGTTCTGAAAATACCAGATTATTTTCTGTGATTGTTAGGTGAGAGTGACACTGATCCACATCAAGCACCTTTACGTGCTGAGAAAGTGAAATCAGTGCTGTAAGTGGTAAGATGAGCTTTAACTGGTAACAAACTGAATAGAACCTGCAAAAGCACTGGAAGTACCAGCATGATACCACTATTGCTTCCAGATCTGCTGGGGTGGGGAGAATAACTTAAACTTCAAATATCTGAGAACTAATCCCTAGAAGCTGAAATGAAGGTAACTTGCTGAACTATTTCATTCAAGATTAGTGATCATTTGCTACACTCAAAGGAAAAGAGTTCAGGATTGGGATCTTCTGCTCAGATGCTGCATGGCTTAGAACAAGAAATTGGCAAGCAACATCAACGTAAACCATTAAGACAGACAACACCAATATTTTGACTAAAACATTGCATATGAATTTTTTCAATTTCTTGGGCTCATATTACATTCTACTTTTGCCTGAAGAATGCTGATTTGGGAATGAAAAATTCTACTTAACACTGATTTGTTGATCTGCATGACCACAAAGTAACTTAGACTTAAATCAGAAGAAATTATTGAGCTAGAACTTTAGAGGAAAACTGTAATTCAAGCTAAAGAGAAAATCAAGATAGTTTCTCAAAACTGTAATGCCATCATTAAAATAAGCATATCAGACAGCACAGCAAAATAGCATCAGGGAATACGCAACTATACCTTTGTTATTTAAAAGATGCACAACCCAATCTAGCACCAGTGTCGTGTCAATATTCTAGCACTCCACGGGACACCATGGCTTGGCATGACTCTAGCCAGGCCCCATCATCATCGCTCTGTCCCTGCTCCCCGTATTCTCAGCCTTCCCAGCTTCTTCCAACAACTGGTACAATGCTTCAGTGCAGGATTTTCCCCATGTCAATAGGGAGCTGGAGGAAAGCCACACTCCCCTTTCTCCTGCAATCATATGGGGTGTCAATGAGCCTTGAGAAAGGCATGAACAAGAATTGTACTGGGACAATTCTTGGCTGATTAATAGGAAGCCAGGACAGAGAGAGGAGCAGCACTCACTAACACTCATCTTTTATTACAGGCTTTATCATGGAAAAAAAAAATGCAGCCCCCAGAAGGCAAGTTTCAACCTGATCGTTCTTCATTCTCAAGAGTTACAAGCCACCATTTGAAGTATAGGTTAGTGAAGCGTCCAGGCCAGCCACCAGAAGACTTACACTTGCCCAACAGGCTTCTAGATTACTTTGATAAGGAAGATATTTCTGGAATTTTTTTGCCCTGCAGAATCATTGTCTACTGTTCCAGTTTCTTCAGAGCCACAATGCTATATTTTTAATTGCAAAAAGATTACTTCATACAACCATGAAACCATATGGTCAACATACACCAGTTGTGGACCAGTTTGGAAACCAACAGTATCAACACAACTGCAAGCATTTAGGACACTTCAAGACTGAGAGACTAATTTTAAATTATTACCTCAACAGAAGGATGAGGCGTCCCAAGAACTTCTTTTTAAAAAGATGAACAATAAAAGTAAACAAAGGAAACCAAGTCTCAGTCACACACATCTCCATAAATTCAAGAACAGCAAGTGCATTTGGAAGACAAACCAAGCTGCAGTTACTGCAAGAAAAGGAGACACCAGGACTCCCTGGGGAAGAAAAATAGCAACAAATTGGCATTCCATTTGAGTGCTGAGGCAACACTTTATTCACAACAGGAGACAAGCTGTATTAGATCAACTTTATTATATTATCAAAGTTTGACAATAAAATATTCAAAATCTATTGAACGCATTCATACACAAAAAGAGCATATAAAATGCTAGGTCTCAGAATATGTTCCATACAAAATACTGTTAAGTGTAGAGCAGCAAAGTCATTGCCAACCATTCCCTGAATTTAGGAGGGCCTTGAACACACTGTGCTCCAAGAACTACCTTAATACCAAACATTCCTTCCTTTGGTCTGCAAGTCCTTTGCAATTATTGCTAGTTAGTGAAGCCTTCTCTGTTTTTAAACAGAATCACATAGTGACTCTGAACCTCTTCAGAAGTATTACAATGACAGCTGAAAGCCTCTTCAGCATTTTCTATACATTTTGTCAGAAATAAAATAAGAAACACATTTGGTCCTCAAGACTATTTTTGGTTTCTGAAAATATCCTGGAAGAATAAAATCAAGTAAAAATTATGGAAAGAGGGAGACATGATGGATAGGTGTTAGGTACAATGAAGATATGTCAGCAAATTCAAACATTTCAACTGTGCAGTGTGGCAAAGCACCTGAGTCACTCCTCTTGAGAAAATGCCACATTCTCCTCTCCTTAATGATGTATTTCTTCAGACCTCTCTCCCCACAAGAATCTGGAATACTCAAGTGCACGTGGCTGTCGCAGGCCTGTACCAGTAACACCAAACACTCTGCCCCTGGAGAGGAACATGCCGTAGTGAGTAAGCACTTCTCAACACACTGAGTGAAGTGGCTCAGTTTCAGTGACCAGAACGATGTAGTTTACTTGCTGCATTCACTTTACCATGCGAACACCATCCTAATATGCAAGAAACTGAAAATGAAAGGGCTGAAAATGATTTGGTACAAACCCCAGAAGTTCTGGACATAAAACAGAACCATAGTCTGCAGAACCCATCACATCCCAGCAAAGTCTCACCAGAAGCACTGCTCCAACACAGTACTTCCAACTCAGGTATGCACATTCTTGTGCCACAAGGCTTTATAGTGACAAACAGCAACAAAAAAAAAAAAGGGCCCTGAGAAACTTTCAGCTTCATTTTACCAGGTTAACTAACATGAGTTTATTGAAAGGCTCTAGGGCTTGTCTACTTAATGGAAAGCTGATTTATGCATCTTTAGGTTAAAAGATAACAGTCAACTAATCTCAGAACACAATACTAGGTTGCCAAAGTTAGAAAAGAATAAGAATATTTTTTTCCTTTTGGGGCACAAAAAGAAAGAAGTAGTAAAGAAAAAAAAAAGAAAGCATCTTTTGGAATCATGTATTTTGGAACTTCAAATCACAAAAATCCCTGAAGCTAAACTCTGGGTATGGGACTGAAAATAACATCAATTAATGGGTAAGGATCTAAATGAAGCTTAGAAAAATTCTCCACACCAGGTTAAGAAGTGTTTCCCTATGTTCTTTTCCCATTTGTTTCAGCCCTTGATGCCCTGTTGGTAGCCTCCCATACAGCCTCCAGCTCCACTCATTCCAGTGCTTATTAACAGGCTACATTCTACTTCAGCAAGAAATACTGATTGTGATAAGCTGTTTTCTGCACTGTCTTTCTGTTGTAAACCAGTAATATAGCAATTTATTAAAAAAATCAGACCAGAGTCAGACCTCAGGAAGAGCTTTATCTTTGAGCAGTCTTGGAACACAAGCCTGAGGCTTATCCAGCTCACAGCCCCACGTAGAACAGAACACTTGGCTAAAGGACTTTTTCTGTGGGGATTTGTTGTTTTGTTTTTTCATTTCAACAGTTACCAACTACAAATGGCTTGGGGCAACTTGGTACTTACTCTGGAAAAGTCTAGGCAATATTGCTGCTGAACTGTAGGTTTCTGGGCAACTGATGACAAAATAAATGTTCCATTGTAAAAAAAAAAAAATCAGGAATATATGTGTGTCCTCTCCCTCAACAAAGGTAATAGGGAAAACGAAGCTACACAAGTTAAAACTTCAGAAGATATTTAGCTTATCCATGACCCTAGTTCAAGTTGTTCTGGATTTACAAGTCATTTCTGATTAAAGCCTTAAACCTACCTCCTGTGCCAAAGCGTTTGCAGTCTACAGGAACACAAGTTCAAGCCTGTCATTTCAACACATCTTACCTATACATTTAAAGACAGCAAGCATTTTATGCATGCTACCAAAATAGTTAAAAACTTTACCTTTTAGACAACTTCAGTTTCTTAACTAATGAATCCTCAATAGTTCTGATGAGTTTCTGAAACTCTTAAAACATTTTTTCTGGGAGGACCTAGCATTTTGAAAGCATTCAAAATTGCATTTTCAGGAAACAAAGTGCAGTCTAACTGGGTGCCTGGTTTTAAAGCAAGCAAAAGAGAATCTTCAAGTGAAACTATTTCTCCAACAGCACTTCTGTAATCAAATATGAGGGCCTTTAGGCTATCATTTCTGTGGCATTCAGAGTTGAATTTTTTTTTTTTTAAAGTAAAACAATACTGTACGAAATTAACGGAGTTGCACATTCAGCAATTTACAGAAACATTTAAGGAACAGCATGTCCCAACTTCTTCAAACAGCAGTAACAGAATTTGTAATCTATGGAAAGTGAATTTTAGTCTTAAAACAAAGTTTCTTTTCAGCTGAATGCAGTGTTGTTCCAATCACTACTTGGTCAGTAACTGGATCAGAGCCTACGTATTTGACTGAGAACAAGGTTTATACTTCATACTGTATTACGCTGGCTTCCATTCGCCACCCCATTTCAGGAAGTTTTGAATTAAAGCCCACCATTCATTATCATTTCCAATACAGGAGATAATTTTTCACACAGAAATGCAATTCTGTATGGATTGTTTGCCAGTACTCAACTCAATTAGCTTTAATTTATGTGCTACTTCACAAAGCTACAGTTATTACAAGCACCAACCACTGTTTACCTTCTGTCCCTCATTGATAAATAAAGCACAAGGTGAGAATTCCTCAAACTCCAGACTGTAAGTAATCAGGTTCTAGAAGTCGATGAGCAAGCTATTTCTTCCTTTAAAAAAAAAAAAGAAAAAACAAACCCCAAAAGATACCTAATAAGAAGCTTCAAGTAATTCTCACATCTGTCTTTCTCCCCTCCCACCCCCCAAAAAGCTGTAACAAAAGAAAGGCTGGATATGACAAAGGTAGTACAGTACCAGACAGCCCTCTTCCCCATCTTACCCAGTAGATATGCACATTTACAAACTAAGGTACTGGGAACTGTGGATCAGAATATGCAAGACCCTTTAAAAAGTTTACTGTGCTTCCTAAATTAAGATAATTCCCTTGTTCTATGGGCATCTGAAATTACAATCCTTCCTCACCCTCTCACTCCAAACCCTGCAAAGACCACACAAAGGAACTCAGGTGCCTGTGGTTCTATGTAGTACGTGCAAGGGGCTGCACAACCTCCAAATGGAAGTCTGTATGAATATTGGATACAACACCAGAGGCACCAAAATGCATATTTGTCTAAATTTCCAGAATGTGAAAATACCATGAAGCATCATAAACACAAATCAGAGACAAACAATCATTTAGGACACCAAACAACTTCTTGAACACAGCCTTAAAAAAAAATAAATAGTTCAAATATCTAAATATCAAGGGATTGAAAGGCGTTTTCCCACATTTAAGGGAAGGCATCACAGGTGACAAAAATAACTGTCAACACAAGGTATCACAAATCAAAAAGCAGCTTTTTCACATACGAGATAGTAGTATCATTGGACAGCATCTGAATATGCTCATTTCCTGAAAGCTCAAATACCACAACTTCTTGTTTTTGCATGTCCACCCACTTCTGGCACTGCAAGGCACTCTGTAAGTTTACTGTCCCGTCCCCATCGCTATAGATAATCTTGGGTTCTTTGTCAGGAAAACTTTCATAATGGAAGGAATCAGGTGTTTCCACGCCAGTACCATAAAGACAGTGTATGCGCACACCAGGGGGTGTCATCTGGTAGACCAGGGGTTCAGTGTCTTGTCTCATGAGCCAGCCATCTTCAAAATTGATGTCCCTGTAGAATTTTTGGTAATCCCGAAGAGTGTAGTTAGCTGTAGGTGTGCTTACAAAGACCTTATCTGGAGGCCAGGTGTAGTTGTAGGGGAGCATCCAATTTGTGGAAACCGCTGATCTCTGCTGGTCTCTGATCTTGAGTGAGCTGATAACAGGGATTCTGTTGTTGTCACCTTAAAAAACAAAAGTGGAATTTCATTATTCACAAAGTATGAGGCAGCAAGCAACCTCTCACAGTGATAACATGAATAAAAATATTATTCCCTTAGCTTACAGTGACAATTTGAGAAGTTTGTCCTCATTTACGATTCTGCAAACTAACTTCTAATAACTTACTAATTTAAATACAAGTTGGTGAATGGATGACTGACAAACTAAGGACACTGCTGCCATTCCAATATGCTCCTTTTTAATGGCAAAAATATTTCCTATATTAGCTGAGTAAGAAATCAAATCAGCTTTTATTAGGCATTATTTATACCATTTGCAGGTTTTGTCTTAAATGTTCTTCTGGAAATGTATTTCACAGTGACTCAGGTACCTAGATCATGTTTTTGCTGAAAGAACAGGTAAATATACTATTCACACACAGAGTTCATGAAGAGACTTTGTACGCTTAACAAAATGTTTAAAGCTTTGCACATTCAAAACAAGCAGAATAGCAGTATTTCATTCAGGATAGCTATAAAAATTACAATATGGTTTGTTCACCATTGGGCATAGTGTTTTACCAGTTTACGCACTCCCTTCATAACAAAACCTACCAGAACATGCCTACAATTGAAAGAAAGTGTTACCTAAAAAAATAACTTGTCATACAAGGAAACAGAAGAAATACTGTATGGCAAATATTACTGTCACTGCTTATGCTACAAGTAAGAATGCTGCACTGAGTGACCAGTTCAGCTGCAGCACTTCGGCACTTTTTACTGTTCTTTAAGAGTCAGAGCATGTTAACTTCTGGTGGGAACCATGTAGTGGGGGGGTTGGGGGGTAGAATTCATCAACATGAGCATCTTCCCTTCCAGTCAGCATTTCAAAACTGCTAAAATACCTATATTGATCAGAACATAGGTATTCTCTAATATAGCACTAATATTTTCTGGCAACTCTGTTAACCCAAACTACATCTTTGCCAGGTGTGTGAAAAACAAACCCAACGATTCTTCAAAGACCAGTTGATAACTACTATACTGGGGAAATGTTTTCAGCTGGCCAAGCTTTTCCAAGGCACTGTATTTTCTTAAAATTTAAACCTAGAGAGCTAGAGCTTATTATCAATGAAGGTCTTAAATTATCCAATACCCAATAAACCACAGAATTGTTACATTTTACCAAGTTTAGGCTTACTCTTATTACAGATCTAGTGCCTGGCCAAAACACTTCAAGAACTTTTAGTAGACATCAAGTCCCTTGTTTTCTCAGCAGTTTGTTCCAAAGATGGCTCAAAATAACAAATGACTATGTTATAATTTTAATGCATCTTTCTTCATATTTTAACCATTGCTCTTGCACCTTCACAAAATTAAAAGCTGCTTAATAAATGGCAGATACAGTGACTACTAGAAACAAATTTAAAAAAAAAAAAAGGCCCAGAGACAGGTCTGAGTTTATTTTCACAGAAAGCATCTGATGAGCCCCACTTTCCATTATCACAGTGGCCAGCACTCCTTAGTTCTTTTGTCAGCTGAACCTTGAATCAGATTTTCTATTAGTAGGTCCAGGTGGTTACAGTATGTAGCGATACAGGTCAACCGCTCCATAAAAATTGGAACACTGAAACCCAAACCACTACTCCCAAAACAGCACCAAAATGTATTTTTCAATTCCATAAGGTGGCACTATTGCTTCAGCAAGGAGATCCAAAGCAGTCTTTAACGCCATAGTTAGGAGGAGTATGTAGTGCTAGTATAACTCTGAAACAGATAGAAAGGAAATTCAAAAGAGCACAGCAAGAATCACAAAGGTCCTAAAAAATGTGCTTCACATTTCTGTGTGGGATGAATTCTTAACTGTGCACACTCACCACTGAGCTACTGAATACTACCCGGCAGTTTTCAGCAAAGAAAGGCCAAGTTCTGAATTGAACAATGAGTGGAACGTGTAGAAAATTTATTTCCAATAGAATAATCTAACACCAAACCCAATTATTCCTGCCTCTTATAAAGCTGTTACAAAATACTTATAAAATCGTTTACTTTTCTCCAAAGTACAGAAGTATACTGTATGGCCAAGACCACGTTAAGTCAGCAAATACAACACTCCCTGACATGGTAGTGAATGAGATTAGGTCTAAGGAAAACACTGCTAGCATCTTACACTGACAAAAACAAAACAAAAACAAACAAGCTACCAGAGTGAACTTTGTGTCTGTTGCTGCATTGGGAAGAACATCTTCAATTTATTGGCACTGGAATTGTAATGATGTAACTATTCATCTTGCAAAGCACATGAATAAGTAGCAGAAAGTATCACAGAAGATCTAGAGAAAATAATTCTACCTGTTTACCACTTCAATAACACAACCGTGGATTTGAATGAAGTTCCTAGCTATTACCAGATTATGAACAGCAGTGGGAACAGAAAGAAGGCATTCAGAGCTTCTCTTGTCTTTCCTGCAGCGACACTTTTTTTTAAAGCAACAATTCTTCTGCATACTAACACCCTGATGATCTCAGTTGTAGAAACTCTTTAACAGACTAACGTAATCCAAGTATTAATGCCTGATGGTTGTTGTTTACAACCATCTGTCTTAAATACAAGACAGAACTCACCTAAAAAAGTGCATTCTGATTCTACGTTCTGCCTTTTTAACTTTCATACGCGATTCTTAAATTTCTGCTCTAAAACATGGACTTTAGCACAACAGACACACAGATTAGAAGATAAATTTCTACTAAAATGTAGAAATGTAACTATTCATTATGCATTTGTATAGCTAGCCACTTTGGATGACATGCATTTTAAAGGATAAGCAAGATAGGAAGTACAAAAGTTTCATTCAACAGAAATCTGGAACTGTGGAATTTTATATAATTGTGTAATTTTATTAAGGTGATATTAACATTGCTCAGTTTCTGCCATTTCTGCAGCATGCAAACTTGTCAGATGAAGCCTGTGGGAAAAGGGGAATAATTTTTTACAGTGCCATTGCAATAGATTTAATATATAATATAACTTAAATTGGATGTTTATATTGAGTTTTCTAATTAGTAACTGAGCTGCACACTATTCAGAATCAAATGCCTTTGCTAAGCAAAGTATTCTTTCATTTGTCTATGCATGGCTGGGCACTTAATGTGTGTTCTGCATTTTGATGAAGTCCAGTTTTTGATGCCAGCTTTGTTTAGGAAGAAGGTAATGATTTCCAAAGCTAACAAGCTAAAAAAACCAAGCCAGAATCATGAACTAAATGCTAAAGCACATGAAATAATTATGGTATCACATGATGGGGTAGTGAACTATTTTCATCAGTCATTTGCAGTTACATAGTGAAGTATGTTTTGCTTCTTTATTAAATCATTTTCTGTCTCGGGCATATCCCGTATGCTAAACTCAAGATCTCAAAGATTCATTTTCCTTATCTATAGAGCTATAACTTCTGACAGGCATTTATGCTGTGGGCACCACTTCACCACCATGTCTGCAAGTTTCCCTTAACATGTGTGGTCTTTAATCTAAGGAAACTACCGAATGCTCTGCAGTCAATAGTTTTGCAATCCTGAAGAGAAGTCAGTCTGGTAGCAGAAGTGACAGAAATAGAAGACACCAGGCCAAACAACAGATGACACAGTGTGCTAAAAAGAGGTTAGGAGAGGTCAAGAGGGGATGCAGCCCCTGGTTAAGGGATATAATAGATTTACACCATTCCCATGAACATAAAGAACTCTGGTCAAAGGCTTGAAACAGCAAGTTGCCATCACTTATGAAAAAATTATTTTTAACTTCGCAGTAACTTAAACACTCATCCTGCAATCTTACAGTTAACGGTCTAGTTAGTATCTTGCACTACTGACCAAATACATTCCAAACCCTGAAATAACCTACCTGAAGCCAGCACACGGAGAGTTTTAGCCACTCCTCCCCATGGAGCGCCTAATGACACATAATCTTTTATGTACTTGTCTTTCCACTCCTGAGTCTGATGGTTGAGGAAGTAGAGGGTGTACATATTCCCCATGCTGTGGGCAATTAAGACAACGGGACTTCCATACTGCTCATACATTAACTCTATCATCTTGCGAAGGGCCACAAAATAGTCTCCATTCTCATCTAAAGTAAACACACACAGGTTACACAGTTATAACTCCTAATTGTAACTGCTTAACTGTAACAAAAAAGGTTATTTATTTGCTTTAAAAGGTTATTTTTCTGAAACTGTCTGTGGAATTAATAATGCAAAACTTAGAAATTCCAGTATTAGGTGGGAGGGCTGGGTGTTTTCATGGGGGTGTGTTTTGGTGGTGTGGGGGTTTTGTTATTTTGTTGTTAAGCAAGCCTTAAATAGCAAATTGTTTAAAGCAACAAAGGAAACACCACAAAGCTTTCATCTGGGCCTAGGGGCATCCAGGTTCCAAGAACTAGTAAAAATTAAAGTTTTAATTATAATTGTTCAGGTGGGATGGCAGAAGACACTCAAAACAATATTTGCTGGCTGGGAGAGTTAAAATTTTGTTCAAGTAATAGTGTTACTTACTTGGTGCCTTTCGCCAGTCATAAGGTGCTCCTCTTACATCTTCATCACGTTTGTAGCCCCAATCTACTAAACTCTGCACCAGCATATAAAAGTAGCTGCCTGTAGACATCAGAGAAGAGAGAAACAGAAGAGTGAAAAGATTAGCATTCGAAGCAGCCGTCAGACACTATCACAAAACAACATAAGTTCAGGATGCCACACGTATGGACATGGAACTGTAGTCTCAGTCTTTGGCACTCTAGAAAGATGCATATTAAAGTGAGTTATGCTCACTGTCCCCCAAAAGTGAGAGAATACCAGTATTAAAACTTCATACTAGTTGCCTGATCTGTCAAATAAGTGTGGCAGCAAAACATGGCATACACAAGATGGAGACATTTTCCCAGCAGAAGTGTCTTACCCTTGAACTGTAAAGAATACACCTCAGAACTACTACATTACAGCCCCAGCTTTTGTCGACTGCAAATAAATTTAAGGTAGGGTATATAATACATTCATAAAGGCTGGCCTGGACTTCACCAATATTTATTCTCAGAAACAAATGCTTACAGCTTACCCTAGGGCAAAGTTCTGGAAACTACCCCAAAACCCTTTTCTATCAGGTAGTGGACTGAGACTTAAGTGACTGAACATAATGCTTTTATTGCAAAGAAGGGAAACATTTGCAGACTGGCTCCATATTGACATATGCTGCATATTACAAGCTTTGACACATAGGATATAAGTATTACCACAATTCAATGCATCTAGTAACAGAAAAATCAAGTGTCAAAACATCCTGTTGAATATCACAGTCATATTGAAGTTAAAAGCAGAACATTAGTCTCAAACACTTATCACATAGTCCCTGAAGTGAACATCAGCAATTTTAAATATGTCTCTGTTCTAGTTGTAAGAGTCATCTAGTGAAGATCATTAAGTACATTACTGCCCTTCTGGGGATTGCTCCCTACAGAAAAGAAAAGGAAAAGAAACCCATACATGTGGGGCATGTGAAGCTCAGTCCATTACTGACTATTAAATTACTTAAGTCTTCAGCTACAGCTAACAACTCTTCACAAAAGCTTATCAGTGTTTTCTGAAAGATGACTTCCACAAAAACACTAAATTAAAAAAACCCACAAACATGAATGCAGAAATCCTTTGCAGCACAAGTGTAATTATGTAATTGTTCTGACACTGACAAAAGAGAAGGAATTACAGAGTGTGGCACTGTATCTCCCAAACTCATTAACTCATTCTTAAGGCCAAAAAACATCCTCAGAGTTGGAAGGGGAACAACCAGGGCCAACAGATGCCCAAAGTGTTCAGCAAAGCTGCTGTTATGACTGCACCTGATTTGGAGGAGAACAATGATCAAAGCAGCACAGGGGCTGCCATAAATCATAGAATGATTCGAGTTGGAAGAGACCTTGAAGATCATTGAGTTCCAACCCCCTGCCCTGGGCAGGGACACCTCCCACCAGACCCGGTTGCTCCAAGCCCCCTCCAACCTGGCCTTGAACCCCTCCAGGGATGGGGCAGCCACAGCTTCTCTGGGAAACCTGTTCCAGGCTCTCACCGCCCTCACAGCAAAGAATTCCTTCCTGAAATCTCATCTCATTCTCCCCTCTTTCAATTTAAAACCATTACCCCTTGACCTACCACTCCACTCCCTGATAAAGAGCCCCTCCCCAGCTCTCCTGTAGCCCCCTCCAGGCACTGGAAGGCCACTATAAGATCTCCCCAGAGCCTCTCTTCTCCAGGCTGAACAACCCCAACTCCCTCAGCCTGTCCCCACAGCAGAGGGACTCCAGCCCTCTGAGCATCTTCGTGGCCCTCCACTGGACCCGTTTCAACAGGTCCGTGTCCTTCCTGTGCTGAGGACTCCAGAGCTGGACACAGTGCTCCAGGTGGGGTTTCTCACCAGAATGGAGTAGAGCGGTAGAATCACCTCCCATGACCTGCTGGCCACACTTCTTTTGATGCAGCCCAGGACACGGTTGGCTTTCTGGGCTGCCAGCGCACATTGCCAGCTCATTTAGAGCTTCTCATCCATGAGCACTCCCAAGTCCTTCTCCTCAGGGCTGCTCTCCAGCCATTCTCCACCCAACCTGTATTTGTGCCTGGGATGTGGGTGCAGGACCTTATTCAGAACTAAGATGAAATGAAGTGGTTTTATTTTGTTTTTGTTGTCAAGCTTCAGTCACAAATTTTCTACTCAACTTATATCATTTTCTAAAAATATCTGTCTTCAAAGTGCCTACTCAAGTCTCCTCCAGAGAACTTATATTTGGCACAAGAGTAAATAACACAGAATCTTCTTGCCTCAATCTATCAGGCCAAACAACAGATAAAACATTATAATGCAATGAAAACACTTAAAAGAAAAGTGAGCCATATGCTACCTGACTACAAAAAAAATTTTAGAAAAACAGAACTGTAATTTGAAATCCCATTTCAGTAGCTTGTCATGGGATTTTTCCAGTGTGCCTTTAAACAAGTGACAAAGCACTTCAGACACAGTTTACATACCAACACTCCTTTTACTTGGGTCAAGGAATTCCAAGGAAAATGTCTGCCCAAAACCTGGGACTCTGATATCCACTCCATCTGGTGGTTCTGTAATCTTACTTGTTCGGTTATATACCAGCCTGAGGGGGAAAAAAAAAAAAAAAAGAGAAAAACATGAAGCATGTTGTATTAGCACATGACAACTCTCAGCTACATTAGGTCTTACATCCTGAGTGCAGTAACAAGAACTTTAAGTGCTATTACCCAGAAGAAGAAAAAAAAAAACCACAACAACCTAACAGGCAGACATGGTAAGAGTACTCTAAAGGCTAAGAGGTTACACAATGCAAACAACTGTTTTAATTAGCTTAACGCTTTACATGCAAAATCTGAGGCTTCTCTATAAAACTGAGTATACAGAATTGTAGCTGAACTTCAACTTTAGAATATAAGCTCTATATTCTATACCATATAGTCCTATACCATATATAGTTCTAACCATATTCTACAATATAGTTCTATACCATTTCACATAATGGCAAAGGTTTTTCAAGAACATAAGAATGGGGCAGTAGAAGATAAAATACCTGTAAAATCAGGTACCAGAAAAATTCTCCTAGATAAAAATAATTCACTTCTGCTTGATAACACCAATACCAGCATAAGGGGGTACTTGATACTTCTTGACTAATAACAACTGGTACCTCAGGAAACACAGAGAGGTATTCAGTGTTTCATAGACATTTTTCAAATCTATTTGAGATATGAAGAATCTGGAGCATTGGGTCAGGGGTTTTTTCAATCATTATTATTACTGTTGTTGCTGGGGTTTTGCTTGTTTTTAATACCATACCAATACAATTGCCATTTCTGAATGCAAGTTTTTACCCCCAGATGGAGTCTTAAAATCTGAATTGATACTCAAATCTTCACACACCAAAAACCTCTCTAACTTGTCAGGCATACAGCAAGACAAAGCAGAGGTACAGCTACACAACAGCTTGGTATATTCACATAAAAGAGCAACATGCCAATACAATATTTTTAAATTATACGAGCTCAATATTTGTTTTCATAGAGATACATATGTGATTTTCACAGTAGCATTAATGAAATAGACTGAATGATGAAATATTCTGGAAGCTTTAAATTAGGCAATGTTTTAAACCAAAATAATTCTTGAAAGAGAATTCCAGACTGCCCCTGAAGGACCCCATGTGTCTCAGCTGCCCCTGGGACTGCTCTCTAATGACACACTGCCAGCAGAAGTGCAAGCTCACATTCCTTCTGCCTGTCCCCTGTGCTGCCCTATGTCCCTCCTTCCCCCTTGTCTCATCAAAACTTAAGTAACTCATCAAAAAAGCAGAAAATGTTCTGCTTTAGATAAGCTTATCAAAGTGTCTGGCAAGTGCCCAAACCAACACTGAGTAATTGGTAGGAAAGAGAGTGGAAGAAACTAAAGAGAACCTCTGCTTTTCATCAGTGAGGCAACAGAGACACATCTTCCGATTCATCATGCTGATCTACCCAGCAAGATTGCAAGTCATTTCTCTCACTGGTCTTGAATCAGAAAAGAAAGTTGCAGGCAGCCGTTCTGTACAAAGCACGTCAGTCTAAGGAAAGGAGATAACTGCAGAGAGCAACATTTCTGGTCTTACCTGATATTATCAATCCAGCAGTCAATGATGACAGGCAGAAGCAACTCTAAATTCAGCCAGAGTGTAAAATAACTGTCTGTCTTCTTAGAGCAGAGATAGTGGACTACTGATGGCTTATCTAACTTTGCTTCCAACTGATTACCTAAGTCCCCTGGCACTGAAAGATATAAAAAGGAGACATTTAAAATAAACATCTATAGCATTTTACATTTATAATACACACATCTTAATACCACAGTCCTCATATGCAGTATCACTGCATCCAGAGATACCATTAAGTTTTGTAACCGGATAAAAAAATATTGCATAAGAACAGAGTACTGCATGCATATTTTCCACTGAAAAAATTTAGATTTTCAAAAACTATGAACTGAGAAACAACGATGTAGAAGAAGTCTGGATCAACAGTTCATAGCTTCAAAGAACAGACTATTATAGGAACAGGTCATGATAGGCCACTGGTATGAAAAACAGATCATCTCGGACATTACCAAAATTACCTGTGTTTTAAAGTACACACAGAATCTTTCTGGAAGAACATTTTCTTCAGAGTGTCACAACAGCACATGTAAGTTGTTCTGTTCTCTGTGAACAGTTGCTTGCAAACTACCAACGTTCACTGTTTTTGGATACATTACATCAGTAATACTTGGGAGGCAAGGGTCTTGTACATGCACCTTCTCTGAAGGACACTGTTCTTAAGACATATATATTAAATGCCAGTATTCCTCTGATTAGTTTTATTTTCCTTTATTTTAAAGGAGATGGAGACAGGAACATTATTTCTAAATTTGAACTAAGCTTTAAAAATTCTTACAATTTTCAGCAGCAAGTTTCCAGAGAAGCTTCTTACATTCTATTACGTTTAATCATTTTTTCCTCAAGAACCAGAAAGGCAAAGATACGTCAGTAACTGAAAAGTTTCTCTGTATTAGAAAAATTCAGGAGTTAGACACTTCTTAAGGGTTGTCCCCACTCCTTTCAGCACACCTTTTTTGGGTGTGCATAAGTGTATCCTATTTACTTGATGGTTTTTAATGCGGACCTGCCCATACAGTTGCTCCCACCACCCCCATTTCATAAATTATTTAATCAAAACAGTTTAAATTCTACAGAACATTGATACTTAACAACGGTTTAAAGAAAGAGATAACATCTTTTAGTGGAACATCTAATTTAACTTGAAAGCCAGACATGCTTTCAGAGAAACATTTGCTGCAGAACTGAAAAAGGACAAAACTTCAGACTAAATACAGACCTGGATAACGACACTCTTACAGGCTTCAGCCCCTGCAGGTTAAGCCCCACCACCACAGATATACCTCAGGATGTCTTTAACTACCCCTACTTTCTCATTAGGCTTTCAGTGTTTTTATTTCTGCAGTCTTAAGCGAAACGTTAAAAGACCCAGTAGCTGACCACAGTTTATTTTAGGTCATATTTCAAGGACTCTGACCTACTGGAAAGCATAGTAAGGGAAATTATAAGTATTGCTTCACACCCTAGAAAGAGTTTACTGAAGTTCAGTCCTGTAAGCTCACAAAATGCTCTTTAGTTATTGCTTATGGAACAAGCTGTTGCCTTGTAGTTCTACTGTCTCATGCCTTTGCTGTATCAGTGCTTTTAATTAGAAGAGGAACAGAATGTAATTCTATTTATATCAAAATATCATTCATGACTGGCCAGTTTCAGCAACAAACCTGCCAAGGACAGAACAGGTTGATTTTGTCTTCAGCTTCAATGCAAACAAAGTAGAAGAGTGACATGCTGTTCTACCCCAGAATCGTATTTCCTTGGGTAAAATCAAATTCTTACAGCAAAGATACCTTTCAAAAACTCAAACAGCTGGAGTATCAGAGTTTTAAGAACTTGCTGAGGTTTCCAAACAGCACTCAATCATAAGCACTCCCACTCAGAGGAAGACAACTGAAGAAATTTGAGATTGAGATTATAAACAAGATATATCTATCAAGAAGACTACTGAAAGCAGGAAACTGCAAAGTCTCATTCAGACTTATTGGAGTAATCTTAGATTAACTGCAAGTTTAATTTTGTTAAGATATTTTATCCTGAAACAACCTTGAGGACAGAGGCTGTGCTCCTGTGTCCAATCAGAGCAGAAAATGAGAAACATTGCATCCTAATTTTTACCCAAGGGATGACAAGGAACAAGTTGAAACATGGCAATTTATTTAATGCTAAACAGTTCCATCTGTGCCAAGATACAGTACTGCAATTTAAAAAAATCACGTCTCCTGTAAAGGTGTGATAACTGTTTAGAATGCAGGGACGAACAAAAAAAAAAAGTTTTTCAGATTTACATTTCCATATTAACAGTGAAAATAATCTAATTAGTTAATAACTAATTGACAACTCATGTTTTATTTTCTTAAAGTATATACTGCAAACTGAAAAGGGTTCACGATGAAGCTACAGGGAACAAAAGGCAAATTTTGATTTTTCAGATTATGGAAAGAAACATGCAAGATCTTCAGTCCTCACCCCTCACAATTTAAATGTTAATGATTTACATTTTGGCTGGAGAACTACTTAGTGGCTTTTTGATGAGTAACAGGTTTTAAAAAAAAAAATCACACTGAAGATTAATTCTGTAGGATAACGACATACCTTCCTGAATTTTCTGTGATGAAGTTTGAAAGCAGTATGAAAACACATCTCCCTTTGCTTTCAGGTCAGACACAGAAAGCACTTGTGGGCAAAGTAATTTTTCTCCTCTTCCTCTTATCTACCAATATCTGTAGTTTCTAAGCCTTTTTGCTGAAAACGTTATAGAAAGCTCTTGCTTTTTAAAGCCTGCAGACTGACCCCATAGACGTATAAAGTGATGTTCTGCAAAATACATCAGCACTAGTCAAAACTAGATGCCCAAGAAGAGATCTCGGGCAGCACCCCTGCTTCCCTAATTCCCACTTGTGCAATACATATGTTGGGTTTTGAACTGTGACAGCTGGGAATACAATGAGATTCCATATTCAGCAGAAAAAAGTGTCTCCATCAGATTTGATGATGTATCTGTTCTAGTATATTATCATTTTTCACAAAGATCGTAATCCCAACAGAATTCATCCTAATCCATTGATGAGCCCAATTCACTTCCAGTATTATAGTATCCTTTGCTGGTTTTGGGAGTCTGGGTTTTTTTGGCTCAACTACCCTGACAAAACTAGATCTCCCTCTGGGATGCATTCTTGTTTGAATAAAGTTCATGGAAAGCATATTTACAAATTTCATTTGGGAATTTAAAAGAGGTTACAGACTTTTCCAAGTCTGGGAACTACAGTAACTGGCTTTAGGACAGACTGATACTCCCGCCTATCACTATCCTTAAGTCTTAATGACAGAACCAATTCACAGTTCCCAGTAGGAGACAATGAGCAAATTGCTCCCTGGAAAGTGACTGGCCTTAATACTGCTCAGGAAACAAAGATAAAAGAACATTCAACAAAAACTGTGAATAGGGGGATTAGAAATTTCATTTGGAAAAAAGAAAAGATAGTATGTACATAATAGTCGGGGGGGGGAGCTATTGTTTGTGCGGCAAAGGGGCAATCATTTGGTACTTTTTTTTTACTACTTTTATCTGAAATGCAAATACCTTTGGATATGTATCAATTATCATAACTTTACTGGTATAATCTCCTCAAATAACTCATCTTTTTGCTTCTATAAATTAGCCTTCCTTCAAGATGAACTAAGCTTTCCGAGAAATTAATTTTAAACTCTGGCCACAGTTCTCTAAGGAGAACGTCTCGCAGTAGCTCTAGACTCAGTGACAGACTGCCACGGAAAAGGCTTGAGTTTAAAATTAGGCACAAGAAAGCAAACAACGTCTCACATGATATTCCCAGATACCTCAGATCACATGAGGCATAAACATTTAAATCACTCCTGACATCTAGCCAGCTGACCACACAAACACACACCTCAATTAGCAGTCAGCAGGAATTCACAGACAAACCTCCTTTGCATGTAAATCAATTATTAACAAACTTCATGTAGGTGTCCTTCTAGAAAACTTTAGCCAAGTACCTAACAAATTGTTTGCAGAAGGTATCAGAACATTGCTATAGGAATTGCATTGAGTCAGCTCTAAAAGGTAAAGAGTTTGGTGAATCGCCACTGATCTTATAAGGACAGGTTATCAGCTCCCAAAATTGATAAGACATGAGATAGTGATTATTGATGGACTACATGAGAACATGAAGAAGGAAGAACTTATTGTGAGCATTAGAAGACAAGTGTGTTGAATGTGTAACCAAACTGGTAAGAGAAGTGCAAAAATATAATTGCCCATAAACATGAAGCAGATATCCAGAAGCACTTGCACAGAATATATATATATAATAGATATTGTCAGTAGAGCAGAGGTATTCAATAAGCTATCCTGATTCTAAAAGAAGATTTTCCTGTATTAATATCTTGTCCTGGCTGAATAGGAAGCTCTTAAAAAAAAAGAAGTCATGAAAGCAACTCAGAATCTTAAGTAGTCCCCCTTTCCCCAAAGTCACTTGAGAGGAACCCCAAGAAAGTCACTATACATTTTAATGAGCATTGTGTCTTTGGTATCAAGCCTTCAGGCAGGACTCTGGAAGTCAGGTTTTGACTTCTACCTCATGGTTCTTCTCTAGTGCCACTATTAAAGCAATACCCTTTGATGCTTTGTTATTTCAATCTCAGGGAAAATTGACAGCAAAATACTGCAATGGGATTGCTCAATTACTCCCCATGTCGGTTTAGTCCCTAGTCTCACTCCCTTGGTACCTATTAACATGACCTTCGGGCACAGTAGCTCCTGCTCCTAAAGCACCATTTGATGATGCCCAGACCAGCGTAAAACAAATAACCTAAGCCAAAGGGAGTGGTGCCACACTCCACATTCCTTGCGCCAGCTCTTCCACTAAGGTAACTCAACTACAAAATTAATCACATTTCTCAACAGGTTAATTTTCTCATACTTTCACAAGACAAATGACCCCACAAAGTGGCCAATAAGCAGGCAAAAGGAAAGCTGGGGGAGCAGTAATGAGCTATTGGATTGGCTTAGCTGTTTCACAGAACCACACTTCATCTAAACCAGTTAGGGGGCTCTACAAATCTGAGATCTGTTGCAACCCCACCTACAGCCAGCAGTTACAAGGTTGTATTCAGGCAGCTTATCTGTTTTCAGATTTGAGATTCCTAGAAGCAGTATTTTCATGAGTACCTGGGGAGCAGAACAGTGTCACCCATATAGAAGCAACATCCCATATTTGCAAACTGCTGCTCCACTTCCTCCGCTGATACTTGGCTAAGCACAGCTTGCAACTGCAAGTGGGGTCATTACACAAAAAAAAATTGCAAGCAAGTTGGGTCTTGTGACCATCACTGGTCTAAAACATTTATGAAACAACCATTATGTTGACAACATTCCTTTAAACAGCATTCCTTCTTTCTTTATTCCTTAAGATCAGGTGGCCAACTTGCCATGCACAGAATAACACCAAACTTGTTAACTCCCCTTTCTGCTTAAGGGTATTAAACTCCAAACAGACCAAGTGTGAATGCTTAAATCATGAGACCACATTTACTACGAGATAAGAACATATTTAAAACTTGAACACATAGGAGTTAAGGGCCTAGATACCAGCCTGGTGGGGAGGATCAACTCTATCCCCCTCTTGTGGGCTCCAAAACGACCTCAGGCCTGCCCAGGCCCGTGTAAGGCAGCCCTGCACACACCTCTCCAGCTCCTTTGGCATTTGTGGTCCCAGTGCAATGTGTGTTTTTCTCCCCTCTCCCAAACACCTGTGCTAAGCCAGCCTCCCTAAACCCTTCTGCCATCCTCACCACAGTAATTCCTAAAAAGCTTATCTTCAAACATCACATACGCAAGAAGGGTGAAGAAAAGGTCATGAAAAGTTAACTAGAATCAAGATGAGAACGTTTCATACAGAACCAGTGAGTGACCGATAGTCACTCCTTCCTCTCCTTTATTTGCTTGACCTTCGCTGCCCATGTCACATCTAATAGAAGCTAAGCTCTTAGTGCAGGTGTTTTTACAACTGTAGTCATTCCCACACATCAAGAAAACATGGTATTTTACAATAGTAAGTTATAGCAAATCAATCCCTAAGAGCACCTTCTTTCTGAAACACAGAAACAACACAGAAAAATTAAATAACTCATTAAAACCCACTGAATCTTCCCTTTCTGGACAGTCAGGACTGAGCAGCAGAAACCAGCAAGTTTTAAAACACAGACACTGACTAGGATAGCAAGAGATGCAAGCCCTGTAGTGTTTGATGAAAATTCACCCTAAAAGCAAAAAAATCTGTGGTTTAAACCACTTGGTGATAAATGTGTGCTCAGCCACACCATATTTACTGGATATAGGAAAACAAGACGTAGGTCAGCCATGGTTTTTTCCAAGCATCCTTTCAGTATATACTTACAGTAGATCCCTCAGCAGTAACTCCACGCTTCTATAATTGCTATCCCTTTATCCCAATTGCTTTTAAATCTTCTTTGATTCCTTCACAGCTAGAGTTGAATATTGGATCAGCACTAAAACACTATCACCTTTGTCATCAAGAAGCTTGCACTGGAATAAGCACCAAAGCCTATTGCTAAAACCCAGCATTACAGAGCTGAGAGATGGGATAAAGAAATGCTTCCAACCTTCACAGACAGAACTCAAGAAACTTTTGTTCACATTTTAACTCCAGCCTCTTAGGACATCCTTTTGTGGTTTCTTCTCCCAAATCTACATCCTCTTGGTTATTTCAGCCATCTCTTAAGAACTCTAAACTTGTATGTGGTGGTCCTAAGATACACAGCAACTTCAAAAGAGTTCTTGTTTAGTGCTTACCCTTTTATGGCAGAAGTTCCTTAGAGTTGTAATAAAGTCAACAGCAAACCCCAAATTATTACAAATAAGTGGAGCTTAAACTGAACATGTCTGCGATTATGATTTCCCCCCATTTTCTTACTTTTTATTCCACCTTTATCACCAAGGTTAGTTGCATAATAACAGACAACATACTGAAATACTGACTACTGAAGTAGTCAGCCACAGGGCTGACTACTGACATTAATATCACCAGTGAATGTATTGGAATGCTTAAGGATTACAATTTCAGTAGACAAGTTATTAAAACACTTGAAATTTATTCACAAGCCTCCTTATCAATGGATACAAAAATACATCTAAGGGCTATTACTCAGTAACCATTATACAAACACTCTCCATATATTTGGCACAAACTATTCTGTGTTTACAGGTGAAACCGCAGGCCAGGAATCAATATTTGGGTTTTAGGGTGTGCAATGAAATAAGCTTATTATTTTTAAAGTAGTGGCGGCCTGGCTGCCCTAAACACGCCCTCCCTCCTCCTTCCACACCCCATCCCAACCCCTACCGGAGGTCCGCACGGAGCCGGGACCCGAGGCCCTGCCGGTACTCGGCGAGCTAAGGCTGCGTGCGGCCAAGCCTTGCGTTTTCCCTGAACCCGCTGACAAGCGAAGACACCTCGTGTTTCCAGCCTGCCCGAGCCCCCGGCCCGGCCCCGCACCCCCCGCCCCGCGGCCGGGGCAGTTACGGGGACGATGCTCCGCGCCCAGCCCCGCCGCAGCGACCGGGGAGGGGGGGGCTGTGCCCGCCCGGGGCTCC